AAGGACGACCGCTTGTTGCGTACACCAAGAAACTCAAGGTGTCCAAGTTTCACCGGCTCTACAAGAAGGCTTGGAGGCAGGAGGTTTTTGGGAACCAAGCATTTATCACCTGGTCCTCTCGCACCGCCGAACACTTTGGTCAGGCAATATCCAAATGCCCCGGCTGGTGGGCTGAAGCCAGTACGGACCAAGCCGATTCTCATTCCTACGACGAGATCGCTGCGTTAATCCTGTCTGGCTTGCTCAGCACCGTTCATCATAATGTTCATAACATTTGATGTCATTTCGTATTTGTGATCATGTTCATTATTACGTTCATAACGTTTGATGGCATTGCATTTCGATACATTTCAATACATTTCAATACATTTCAAACGTATTCATTTTCGTTTCGTTTGTCGGATAACTTTTGGCAGTTATTGCTGGATCTGATAAACCATATAAATGTAATCGTTATGTTATTACGAGAGTGTTGACTTACGAAGTAGTAGATGTTAAAGATAGTAATGTAGATCAAATCGTATTCTTAAAAAGAGTGTTGTTATCGTCGTTTCATCGACAGGCTTCCGCGAAGGCCGATCCCGTTCACTTACGAACACAAACCATTGCATGCGTGTGCAATAGCACGGTAGCCTTCATTTGGATGAGCATACCAAAGTTGCGCATAAATTCGTCATCCTCGTCGTCAAAATCAAACATCTTTTGATGAGGAATGTCTTCCTTCCCCCAGTTGATGTAAGTAGATTTAGCGTCAACTATCTTAGAGACATCAGCTGTCCAACGTTGCATCTGTTGTTTGATGGAATCAGTTTGCTGTTCAGCGTTGGTTACCATTTGGACAGTATTCACAGAAATGGGGATACCGCTCTTTGGGAGAACCCAATACGTCATCATGGGTCCCACACGGTGCGAAACTCCAAGCCATTGTCCAATGTGGTTGACTCCCAGGCCGCCATTGCTGCGAAAGAACACCCAACCATATATCGTGAAATCCAGATATTCAGTGATTTCTGGCGTGATTCCAGTTATAATTTCTAAAGGTACCCGACCATCAGAGTACTTTGAATAATTGACAGTAACATTCATTGTGT